GTATTTTATATTAAAACTAAAGTAGAGGAGTAATATAATAGTATATAGAGGTAACTCCTCTATTAAAGTATAATATTTATCTAGTTTCTTTTATTTATTATTAATAAAAGTCCTTATATATTACTAGTTATTACTACTTATCTCTTTTAAATTAAAGATATTATTAATATACTCTTAGTAAGTATAAGTAAGTAAAAAGCTTTTATTAAATTATTTCTAAGATATTTATAATTCTTAAGTATATAATAAAATTTATTAATATACTAATTAAGTAGATCTTTAAAATATTTCCTATAAAAAAGCTTATAATTCTTCTATTTTAAGATCTTATAAATCCCTACTATTAATATTATTATAGAAAGTCTTCTAACTCTTAAAGTAATTTAGAAGATACTTTATTATAGTAATTACTTCTTAAAATTTACTATATAAGCTATTTTATTTAAAACTTTATATTTAAAATATAATTTTCTAAATAAGTTTTAAGATTATTATAATCTCTATTAACTATAGCTAGTTATTAGAAGTTAAGATATCTTAAACTAATATAAGATCTTTAATACTTTAAAAAGAATAAAAACTATCTACTTTATTTTTAAAATAAATTATATACTTAATTATAAAGTATATAGAGTTTTATTTTATAGTATTATCTTAAATTAATTTAATTTCTCTAAATATCTACTAAGAGAGAAGAATATTACTAAATTACTTAGATCNCTTTTAATATCTTATAGGATAAATTCTTAAACCTCTATATATATTATAGTAAAGCTTTTATAAACTTTATAATATTATAAAATTTATTAATTAGTCTAATTTTTTATTAATACTTAAAATTAGCTTTATCTTATTATAAAAGAATATATATATCTAACTATCTCTTAAAGTTCTTAAAATCCTTATTAAATAAAAAGCTTTTAATATAAAGTTAAAGATATATTTAAAGTAATAAATCCTTTTAGTCTAAGTATCTTATTTCTTTTTTATAGAGGGGTTAAATTAAAGGATTAGACTTACTATATAAGTATTATTTAAGTTTATATTATTAGAGATAAAAGTTCTTATTTAGTTTATAATACTTTAGTTTTAAATAACCTCCTTAAGAGTATTTATAAAGTTAATACTATTATAAGCTTTAAGTTATTTCTTTATAGTAATTAAATATATTTAAGGACCCTTCTCTCTAATAATAAAATATATAGTAATACCTATAATAACTTACTAGTTTAAAGAAGTCTATAAATTAAAAGCTAAATAGATTTTAGAGTTAGTATATAGAAGTTCTTATTATATAACTTCTTTCTAATATTTCTAAATACCCTTAAGTATATAAACTATTAAAGTAATAAACTATAATAATATTTTTAGTTTTATATTAATACTAAAGATTATATTCTAAAAAGTAAAGTTCTTATAAATACTAAAGGGAAAGTTAATATCTATAATAAAGTAAATAGTAACTTTCTAAATACTCTTTATATAATCTTTTATTAAACTAATAAAATCTAAATACTATCTCTTATATAGAATATTATTAAGTTCTTTAGAGCTTTTTAAGCTAATAAATATAACTTAAATCTCTCTAGTATAATTCTTTTTAAAATACTCTAAAATAGATAAAGTTATTTTAATATTAAGAATAATTTATTTACCCTTAAGATTATAATAGTAATAGGCCTAATAACTAGCCCTTAGTTAACTATCTAATTAATAGAGAATAAAAAACTAATTATAGTTTCTTATTTAATTTATCCTCTCCTTAATACCTTTTTTCTAAAGTTCTAACTTTTATATATATACCTTATTATTTATTATAACCCTAAAGAGGTCTTTAAATAAAAAATAGTTAAATAGGAGGTAGTTTTTATTTTATTTAAGCTATAATAAAATAGATTTATATTTTAAAAATTAGCTAAAAGTATTTAAAAGAGAGGTTAAAATTAAATAGAGGATTATTAATATAATAGATATCTAGTATAGGATAAGTAAAATAAAAGAGAAGTTAACTTAGTAATACCTTTATATTTAAAGGATATTAATAGATAATAAAGATAGAGGATAATAGTAGTAAAATAATAATTTTAATATAAATTTCTAAGAGATTTTAAGGATTAACCTTTAAATTCCTTAAAAAATTTAGCTATATTATAGAGGCTAGAGAAAATTATAAATATCCTTATACTAAAATTATTATATTATTAACTTAGAGGAAAAAAAGGAGAAACTAAATAAATAAAAAAGAATAATTTATACTTTATTAAGGGGGGGTCCTATTAGAAATAGAAAGTAAATAAAGAAGGGTAAGAAAGGGTAAGGATATTTAGTAATAGAATATTTATTTAATCTATATTATAATCCCTATTAAAAGAGTTAAGGTAATTAATTAAGTTTAAAGCTTAAACTTAACTTAATTAACTAGCGATAGCTTTATAATTGATTAATTAATTGATTGAACTTAATAAGTTTACTTGCCTTGAGGTGGGCGCTGCTAGTACCCTGGAGAAGTCCCCTCCGTGACGCCGCCCAAGTCTAAGTCCTCTGACCTCCGTCGCGAAATGTAAGTATGGTCTTTCGTACAAGCATGTTCCAGTCTCTCCAAAAGATGGGCACCAGTGGTCTAAAACTTTTAGGCTGGATTAATTATGCCGAGACAGAATTGTGGACGGTGCTCCAGACCCCCGGCAGACGCTAGATCTCTGGTCTCGCACGGGAATTGATGAATACGCGTAATGCTCAATTCCCCCTCCAACATTCCTTTCTGCAGATTATTTTAGTTGAATACGAAGAATGTTTAAGGATTATGAGTCTTGTATAGTATCTGCAACGTTTCGAATCAACTAGGTCTCTTATGAAAGAAAGACTAAGGCTGGCAGCACGTACGATAAGAGAAGCGTAATTTCACTGGCACATTCATTTTGCCCGCGCGTAGGTTAGCCACCTCAAAGAGACACTATCGCACGAGACATACGAACGTTTTCATGAGGGGTTTTGTAAAACAAGATACATCAACGTCAAACATAATGATAGTTTCCAGCATTGATAGAGGTTAGGCTTCAAAGGGTGACCATAGGTGTGATTTTGTGCACCCTCGGGTGTGCCCAGTAATGGTGCTATGTCGGCAACAGGCACTGTGGTTTTTGGTCATCATTCAAGTTGTTCAATTGTGTGCAAGTCTGAACCGAATTCTCACCGAATGCAGCGATGAGTTGAGCTGATTGTTTCAACTACACGTTCTCGTGCAAGTCCAAGGACTTGGTTTGGTCTCTCCACCTGCGCCAGCTTTGCGACGGCAAGTAAGATACAATGGCCCCTGGGGTATAATAGCGGATAAGTTCGTGCGGGACAGCAAAGATGACTAGAAGAAAGCAATCATGTATGAAACGAGTCGAGAAAGTTTCGGAGTCAAGAGTAGACAATGTCCCAGCGACATAACTCAATGATGGAAACTGCCCGGCTTACACCAGCCAAGACAGCCTTCAATTTCAAAGAATTTGCAGGGCCCTATATCTGTTCTGAGACGACTAGGTGGCTAATCTCTTGACTACTTATACCTGCGGGGCTGCTTCATGCCCAGACAAATGCAAGATCCGTTACGTGGACATAAAGCGCCGCGGCAAGTATCTGGTCCCAATCGCAAATAAAATGGTGTATTTGGCGAGAATCCGACGGTAGTCTAAACAGCCAATACACTCACATGGTTCCTGACAGCTTCACGACTGAAGACTCGCCTCAAACGTGACTTACTCTCATCTTAGTAGTAGCACTTCGGGGTGAGATCTCGAAATATATCCCAGCGCTGAAGTTCTCACATAGTCCGTCATCTGCTTGCGCGGTTTATTTCAATTATACTCAAGCCTCAATAACAGAGACAGAGCTTAAACATCCTGAACTAATCACTAAGAACATATAACTACGCTGGTGTTGCGACTCGCGTGCGTACCGAGAGGGGAATTGACTATAGAATGCGAAGAAAAGCAGTTCCGGCGAACCCAGCAGCGATTTTCGACGCATTTGTAACGGGCTTTTTAGATGGCATCTCGGTGTTGAAAACCCATTCAAGATAAATCGAAAGCTTTGTTCTCTTTCGAGACGCAAATTCTTTCTCAAAGCCGCGGGGCTTTGGTGTTTCTGTATAGCTTCACATTCAGCTACTTGAATGGCTGGTGAAACTGGTCAATGAGAAGTGATTCCGATGTGGATACACGCGTAAGGTTTGACTGGTAAAACTGTTGCTCAGCTTTGGATGGAGTATGATCACGATTTGGGAGGGATATAGGTGTGGAGCATTTTTCGTCTTTGGGGAGTAATGCCAATCAAAGGCCGTAGACTCAAAGTGCACTGATGTATGAATCTTTCTCATCCGCAGCTTATCAAAATCAAATAGCTAGTGCATGTTTCCCCTCTCTTCATGTTCTGCTGTCTTTCATTGCTGTTTCATCAATCAGAAGTAAGGCTTGCCCTTCAGCACCATGTAGCAAGGTCACGTTTTGCCCTGTTCTTCGATAACGTCAAAACGAGTATTGGGATTCGGCTTTCTGGATGGCGATCGAAATCTCGTCCGTACATACAAAAAAAAAACAAGAGATACTTCTAGGCTTATTCCTTGTTTTTGTCGCAGGAATACCACCCACCAGAATCGCCGTCTGCCGTGACCCGAAGGATGGGATCGCCGCTCGGCAGTCCCACCCGGGGCTCCACACCCGGATTTAGCGCCCGTATCACCGGCCGCGGAGCTCCGTGGAAGGATTTCATCGCCGCTTGCAGCCTGTTTGATTACGTACTCTCGTAGCGTCGCTTAAGTTGGGTTGAGCATCCTTTCGACGTCATTCAGAGTATTTCAAGGCGGCGGATTGCACCTCATTCGAACTAGTTCTCAAAACATCATCGTACCCATCTACGTCGGATGTAATACTTCTTCTTAGTTTTCAGCTGTAAAACGAACACTCAACGAATTGCGTCTGGCAACATTTCCAAGAGTAACCACGAGCGCCGCCAACATGTCTGTTCTTGTTCTCGGAGCCGGCGAGTTGGGCTCAGCGATGCTCAAAGCACTCAGCTCACACCCCTCCCTGCCAAAAGAAGCCAACATCTCGGTTCTCCTGCGGCCATCAACCATCTCTTCCACCGACCCATCGAAATCCAAGATTGTCTCGGACATCCAGGCACTCGGTGTCTCCGTCGAAGCGGGCGATGTCGTGAACGATTCCATTGCAGACCTCGCCGCACTCTTCAGCAAATACGACACCGTCATCAGCTGCACCGGCTTCGTCGGTCCCACGGGAACCCAGCGCCGCATTTGTGAGGCTGCATTGCAGTCCAGCGTCCGCCGCTACATTCCCTGGCAGTTCGGCGTTGACTACGATGTCATCGGACGCGGGAGTCCGCAGGTCTTGTTTGACGAGCAGCTCGACGTGAGAGATATGCTACGCGCGCAGACCAGTACCGAGTGGGTCATCATTAGCACGGGACTGTTTATGAGTTTCTTGTTTGTGAAGGAGTTTGGAGTCGTGGACTTTGAGGAGAGGAAGTTGAGGGCGCTGGGCGGCTGGGATGTGGAGATAACAGTGACGGGACCGGAGGACATTGCGAGGATGACGGCGGAGGTAGTGTTTGAGCCGAGGAGCATTTCAGGTAGTGGGAGCAATGTGATATTTGTGGCCGGGGATACAGTCTCATATGGGAGGATTGCTGACTTAGTGGAGAAGAGGTTTGACGAGGTTGAGTTCACGAGGGAGGAGTGGGACATGGGATTGATAGAAGCAAGTTTGAGGAGTGACCCGGGGAATGTGTGGAACAAGTATCGCGGGATCTTTGGAGCTGGCAGTGGCATTGCCTGGCCTACGGAGAAGACGTTGAACTATCAGCGTGGCATTAAGCTAGAAGACTTAGATACGTGCTTGGGAAGGATGAAGAGCCCGGCAATTTTGGAAGCGTAAGAGACCTTATACAAAGGTCGGGAATCTCCCGATGAGACACCCCAAAGAGCTACTCGTTAGTAAAATCAAGAACAAGCTTTTATGTGCTCAAGTTGAGTAAAATCAGGCCCTTCTTTCCAACCTGTAGGAGCAAACAAGCGGTCTCAAAATGGGTCGATTTTATTGTTCTTGCCAAATGATGCTATGTGGAAAGTAAAGTTGACCTTATCCTTATCCCCACGAGCTAAAATCAGGCTGAGTCCAGCTAAACCAAACTTACATACATAATTGTGTTCTACCCACTTTAGTATGACCACATGCAGCAGTGCTACGTACTAATCGGCCATTCCCATTGGTTACTTCATCTCACGGTGTCAGATTTCAACAAAATCTCGCAGCCTGATTTCAACCCCGCTCGTCTCACTCCTCTTGACAATCATACTTGAGGGCCGAACTCCTCAAATATTGACCACGGCCATATTACAAACCCTCGAAGTCAAGAGAAGCAACCTACAGTCGGCAAACTTCTCATCTACTTTAGTCTTCTCTTCATGCTATTATGGCTGGAAGATATAGGGATCCCCGGCTGTCAGATGAGTTCGAGTATCTGACTGTGCCTCAGTCGAATCGAGGTTATCATTCGGACGATGAAGCTCGGCAGAAGAAGCGGACAGTCTTTGTCGACCGCACAGAGCCTCAGGTGTCAACCGAGGCGAGAAGGCCATCCCCTCCGCCGAGACTGAAGCGTGCTCATGTCGCACCGTACTCCAGTCGTGTCCCATCTCCACCTCCGTTGAGGAACGACCATCGCCGGTTCTCTTCCCAGGATGTACGGCCATCCCGCGCTCTCAGCCCTCCGCGACCAGCACCATACGCTCCAACTGGCAACTCTTCATATCCATCATCTCTTAGGAGGAATGGATCTCGTAATGCCCGGATTCCTCCAGTCAGTGTTGCAGTTATCGGTCCCCAAGGTTCCGATGAAGTTGAACCATCCCGAGGGATCTCCACGCTACCTGTAAGACCAGATGCCGATGTTTCGTTTCCGAAGGTCATGCATCAGCAAGAGCAACGCTCATGGCACAACAGGTCAAACTCGGCTGGCCGATCGATCGTGACATCGCCGTCTCTCGCAACATCCGGGCAGTCATTCCCTTCATCCGCGACTGGCACACTCGGCGACAGACTCTATCGATACAACGCATTAGGAGAGTCTGAAATCAGATTGATCAGACTACTTCCGGCGCGAATGTTCAAGATCAAATGCGAAGTATTCCATGCTCCAATTACAAAACTACCGGATTATATCGCTATATCGTATGCGTGGGGCGACGCAGGGGACACGCGACGTTTGGAACTTGAAGGCACAGAGATTCCGGTATCTGCTAGTTTGCATGGCGCCTTGCAAGCTCTCCGACGAAAGAATGAGATAGTCACCGTATGGGTGGACGCGCTCTGTATCGATCAGCACAACAGGGATGAAAGAACACAACAAGTTCAAATGATGACAAAGATTTACTCGAGGGCAGAGTCCGTAGCTGTCTGGCTTGGCCCAGAAGCAGACCGGAGTTCTGACGCGGCCGAGTTTCTCCTGAGAATGACTCAACATTCGGGATCACCAGACAAGATTACGAAACTTCTTTCCTCCAAAAGCAACGAGAGCGACATCGCTGCAGCCGTATCTCTTTTCGAAAGAGACTACTGGAAGAGACTGTGGGTGGTACAAGAAGTCTTCAATGCACGCTCCGTCACTGTCTATTGCGGCTCCAGCAAGCTTCCGTGGGATGTCTATAGAGAGGCGTCCAACGTTTTTCAAAGACACAAGGGTGACTTGGATTACTACTTTCCTGGGAATTCCCAGGGCCGGACATACGCCAGAGCAGCACAGAACCACTTCACTTACTCCCAGATTTTGACTTATCAAGGTCCTGGAAGTCTTCCAGACATCCGAGCTTTGAGACACTATGGGGAGGATTCTCTTCTGGAGGTTATGCGTGTCTGTCGACGGAAATTCTCTGCTGATCCAAAAGACAAAGTCTTCGGAATCTTGGGTTTGCTCACAGAAGACGTGCGCAAGGACTTCCCAGTCGATTACAGTCTATCCGTCAAAGAAATCTACACGGACGTGGTAGACTTTCTTATATCAACAACTGGACGTTTCGACGTGATTTGCGAGGCCATTCACTACCCGCCTCACATGGACACTGCGAATCTACCCTCGTGGGTCCCAGACTGGTCTCACATTCCTGACACCGTCGCTTTGGGCGCTATGGCCTTTGAGCCGCCCTTCTCCGCATCGCAACGCAAAGAGATCAAGTTTTCCTTCAAAGACGATCGTCGAAACAAGATTGAGATCACCTCTCTTGAGATTGACACCATCCGCACTCATGGCATTGCAGTCGGTACACTGTGTACATTAGCAGACTACCTCATGGCTTTCATCCACTGGAGAGCGCTTCTGCTAGCGACGTACAAGGCCGACGATCTTGAGGCGCAAGACCTCTTCTGCAGGGCACTTTGTCTCAACCAAGTGCCTCGTAAATGGGCCAATTCGTTCGACTGGGTTACCGCCTGCTTCCATGTGTTTGCGTCGTTGATTCGGGAGAGGCTGCCGCATCTGCCTCTTGATCAAGAGCTTGAGAAGTACATTGACGCGAAGACTGATATCAAGCCTGACGCCCGTCGGAGATTCCTTCAGGAACACTTTGGCTCTCGGATGATGGGTCGATGCTTTTACATCACTGAGGGGGATCGCATTGGCATCGGATCTGGATTCATGGCTGTTGGAGATGTCGTCGTAGTCCCACTTGGTTGCTCAACACCAGTGGTCCTTCGCCCTGAGGGATGTCGCTCAGAGTGTCGCTATGTTGGCGATGCGTATTTGCATGGGTACATGTATGGCAGAGCCATAGATCAATGGCGTAATGGAGACAGGAAGGCGTCCAAGTTTGTTCTACACTAGTGTCGCATCATGGGAAGTTTCAGTTTCAAGTTGTATGATAGCCAATAGAGGCGTTCAGCGGCCGGTGATGAGAGCACTATTCACGATGAAGCACAAAACGCGCAAGCTTTGGGTGACAACTGCCCACAGGGCTCATTGAGTCTAAATACATACACGCTATATGGGCATGTACAGAAGGAAGAATATCTACAAGTAAACAAGCCTATACATGAGTGCCTTTTCACGGAATGTGGCACTGTTGAGTCTCTCGTTCGGGTCAAAAAGTGCCCGAGCAGATCTCGCGATTTTGTTCAGGAGCTTAAGAGCTGGTGACATCGGAGGTAGAGTACTTGCAGGCGGTCGACGGGCCGCTGGAGATCTCGGTGGGCTCATCACCGGAGTCGTTGCCCTTGAACTCGGTGCAGACCTCGCTGACGCTCTTGGCAACAACGTTGGTGAAGGTAGCAGTGTCACCGTAGTTGGAGTTGATACCTGGAGGGACAGATGTTAGATGGGGTTTCACAGGAGGCTGGGTGAAAAAGCGAAGCACTTACCAGCAAGGAGCTTTCCAGAGGAGGCGTTGATGTCATCGAAGATAACGTGGCGCTCGTACATGGTCTTGCAGTTGCCGCAGCTGCGGTAGAGCTTGCCGAAGTCGGAAACAGTGAAGCCAGAGACGGAGAGGGTACCGGCACCGTTGTGCTGGAGGACCTTGTCAGAAGCACCGGTAGCACCACCGCCGGTGATCTTGGTGGTCTCGCCGGCGTCCTGCTTCTTGATGGTGAAGGCGTCCTCGCAAACAGCAGACCACCAGACGTTGGTGAGAGTGCAGCCACCGTTGCAGTGGACGCCCTCGATCTGGTTGGGGCCGATGATGACGTTGGAGAGGGAGGCGCCCTTCTCGAGGATGAAGACGGAGTCGGAGTCACCGCCCTCAGACTGGCCAGTGCAGGAGACACCACGGTCGAACATCTTCATGCCACCATCGAAAGACTCGCCGGCGGCGATGGTCTGGGCGGCCTTGAGGACGGAGGTACCGGAGGCGGCGGGGATGTCACCGCCGGAGGTGCCGTTGCTGGCAGCGGCGATGGCGAAGGAAGCGGTGCCGTTGCCGGGGGCGGAGGTGATGATAGAGCCGGGGGAACGGGTCTTGGTGGCGTGGGTCTTCTTGGGCTTCTTCGCGGACTTGGTCTTGGAGGGGCTGGCCTTCTCAGCGCGAGCGAGCTTGTGAATGAGGTCGAAGTAGCCGGACTCGGCGCGGGCGAGGTTGTGCTCCTTGGGAGCGGCCTGGGCGGCGGGAGCGGCGGCGATGCCGAGCACCATGGTGGTGAGAGTGAGGGCGACGGAGTACTTCATTTTGATGGTTGGTTGGTTGTTGGATTGGTTGGTAAGGAAGGCGAGATAAGTGAGAGAGAAAAGGGCTTGTCTACTTGAGAGAACGAAGAAATAGAATCAAGCCTGCTTGAAAGAGTGTAATGAACAATGAAGACCGAAGAGGTGTGAGTTGAAAGTGATGAGGAAGAGAAAAAGCTGCTTTTGGCTGGATATCCCGCCGTTACTTATATCAAGTGAGCTGCCAGGATGGATGGCATCTTCCCACGTCCATGTCTACTGTAGAGTTACACTACAGTTACCGGCGCCAATATTAGATGTGGTCCAGACTAGAACGGGAACTGGTCCAACTCCAGCCAAGGCCAAGAGGCTCCATCTCCTCCGCAGACTACACAGGTATCAATCAACAAGCGACGCGGAGGAAATGAAAGCGTCGATGCAGGTACTGAAGATCGCACTGGAGCCACTAATCCACCGTGTTCCCACAATGTGGGCTCATCCCAAGAGATCCTGTCAGACTCAGCGCCAACTGCCATGCAGCACCGGTAGTAGTGAGCGGGCGTGAGTTAGGCGTTGACCGGTGGTGGCATCCCTCCGGCTGTAGGCTCCATCGGAAGACGGACACAGTTCCCGGTTCGGGACATGGACTCATCCCAACTTGATTGTTTGCTTGCAGGTCGTTGCCCGAAAGAGAGGTGTGATGGCCGCTCCCGCATCGGAATCTCGACGGGGGACCCCCGTGTCCTGACTAGCCAGTCCCGCCCTTTAATTCGATCTCCTTGGCCCCAAAGCTTGAACACAGACGAATCCCAGGTCTTGAATAAAGTGATGGCCCAATCCGGTTCACGGGCGGGAATCGCCCCTGGGCCCTGCTCAGCCACGCGCCCACACCAACATCGCAACAGCCCCGACTTTCAGTCTGTCAAAGCCGTCACTCACTCTCGGTCTGCAGACAACTCTCGCTGAATCCCTGGCTCTTCAATCACTCCCACACACACCACAGGCGGCGCCATCTTGCTGCCCACTCCCCCATGGCGTCTGCCAGGGGCACATCTCAATGTCGCACCACCCCTTGCAGGCCGTTTCGAAACAGACGAGCAGGATGGCCAGGGTCGCCGTCCAGTCAGCCAAGCCAACCACCGCCAACGTCTCTATCGTAAAACTCCACTCTCTCCAGTTTTCCAAAGCAATGCCAAGACTTTCTCAGACGAAAAATCATGATGTCCATATTGCCATCCCGCGTCACTAGTCGCGGCCGCGCGGATTGGGATTTCAAGATGCGTGAGGGAAAGTGCTCAGGGTCTTGGCGGGCCAGATTATGACGGCCGCTGCGGTGACGAGAACGAGGCACCCGAGGTTTACTGCCCGTTGTTTCCTCGCACGCATGCGAGCCTGCAGACCGGCCCTCTTCGTGGCCTCTGGGCGCTCTCGTCACGTCAGTTTAGGCCGGGCGCATCGCTTGTCGGCTTGTTCGGTCCAGTTCAGACGTTTTAAGGTCGCTTCAATGGAGAACACCCTATCCGATTCCTGCTCTGATCGCCGTCCATAATGGCATGGAGAATCTGTCTCAGCAGCCTCCGTATCGAACCGTTCAATCGGTAAATCATAAGACTCTGCCAGCACGAAAGTTCGAGAACTAGTGCTCCGAGAGCTATAGATCATCGCATATACGCCAAGGATAGCCTGGTTGGGAACAGCCGCAAGTTGATACCGGTGATGCAGCCGCATATATTTGGCCCCTATTATGGGGTGGTAAGAGGGAGGATCTGCCGCGGTGAGGATTTGCACTGGCCATCGGAGGCGGCCTCGATATCCATGGTGAAAATTTCGAACGCCACGATTACCATGGAAAATGTTATTTTCCCGTCTGCGCGCTGCTGTCATCCGTTGGTCTGTCTCGTCTTTTGCCTGCCGGTGTGGCCGGGGCTCGTCGCCCACTCTTCCGGAGGCCGGGCCTCTTCGTGAGCAGAGGGTCATTTACAGGAGACCGGACACGTCCCGGCCGCTTTTCTCACAAGGTGGGGTCAGTTCAATCCTGTTATAGGCGTTGATGATGTCTAAAGGTACGATTACGGTCTCATCTACGTCTTTCTATTGAAACTGAGCTTGGGTTCCCGCACCGCATGTCGGAGGTAGAGAATTAAGGTAGAGGTGCTTGTGCTCTCCCCCCAATGCGACGTCAGCGTCCATGGTCGTGTTCGGCTTGTGTACGAATTGACTTCATCTGATGTTTTGATTCGTGGAACATCGGATCGTACATGCAATGCTGATCACCTGGTGGCCTGGCCATTGTCGATTTGTCTTGGACATATGAGCGTCAATGCCGCTTTTCAACTTTTCAAGACGATGTCGCCACGGCTCAGCTCACATCGCCCCCAATATGTTTCCTACTAAGAGCCGCGGCAGACTTTGAGACGGGATCGATATGCTTGAAGCTTCTCCGCGGTCTACTTCCGTTAACCTCATCACTAGCGCTGGAGTTGGCTTCATTGTTGACCCAGAATCAGGAGGCCTGCAACGACAGTGGGCAGCGTCTCATCCCTTAGCTCCAGATGTATTGCGATCATCCCTCTCTCCCGTGCCCCTGGGTCCCAATCGTGAATGTCGCATCACCCGCCCGAACGCTGCTAAAATGACGGAAATAGATCGCTATGGGAACCGAAGTAGGTCTCTGATTGGCGAATGATCTTGGCGCATCTGCTCAGCGGCTCTTTCGAGGATGCACGTCGCCGTTGCCTATCGGTCTCAGTTTTCCCGATCTGTCCGCTGTCTGCCCGAACTTGTGCTTTTGTCAGCTATCGCCTGGCAGCATGCGACGAACACCCAAAAAGCTTAGGCAGCAGAACGAATTCTTGTCGCACCGGAGTCTCAAACAAAGCCAAGTTTGTAGGTGTGCGCGTTCGCACCTCCAGCCTGCTTGCTGATATTGACGTGTCTTGGCGCCGAGCCTTGGAAGCAAACGCTCAAGAAAGGGGGCAGAAGATTACTGTGTTGGCGTCCACTGCGCAGCCCCCGAAGCACAGGGCCGTTTGTTTTCAGTGTGATTGACTCAAGCTCTTCCTTCTTCCCGAAACTCTGCTAGTAATGTCATAGCTGCCAATAATTGCACTCTGGCCAAAGTCGGGTTCGTGCGACTCAGCATCGAAACGATGCACAAACTCAATTCAAGTCGTTTGCTGCGAAAGACACGTGGTGGTTGAGGTAGAGTTCAATCATAAATTCAACGCCGTCCGTTGTCTACGAAGCCCTTGTCTGCTCAATTGATCGTAATACTACAGCAATTGAACCAACCCACGACGGCCCAATCATGTCTGCGAAGATCTGCGTACAGCACAGCGAATCGATGGAGAACAATCCCCCTTCGTAAGTCTTTTACAGAGCACGTTTTGACTTTACGGAAAATTGGAGATCATCGGGCGGTGGGATATCTCCCGGCTATGCAACACGACCAGCCCCATCTAGTGCTATTTTCTCACATTCAAGGACCCGTTCATCAGATGCCTTGGCAAGGGGTTTGTCTGATAAATCATGAGGATGCAGTTGCGGATAGACGCATGATTCTAGACCTCTGTACGGATGCTCCTGGCATCTCTGGTACGGTATTCGATGAACTGGGGGAAATGAGCAGGACCGGTCCCGGCGCAAATTTGACTGACGCGGTCTCCCTATCCGCGTCATCAACGTCACCCCGTAACCGGCCGTCTCATTGCTGCAGTCCCGGAACTTCCGATACGAGATATTGAGTGCAGTTTGCGGCTTGCTTCTTCGAGGGAAATGATGCAGCTGCGATATTCCTGCGATCGGGTCAACCTCCCGTCAACATCCAATGCGCAATACGATCGGAGACGCGAATTATCCCTTGCAAACAATTCTTTCTTTCTTTTCCCGTTTACAGATCGTTTGGATTCTTTCGTATTGATTTTTTAACACATTTCTTCCGGTGTTTGATGCCAAGGTGGCTGAATCCTTAAGGTCGGCCGCAAGTAGACTCGCATCAATTTAACGAAGGTGCGATGTTCCCAAGCTTGCTCAATTGAATCAAAGCTCACAAAAAGAGAGGATTCATTGAATATGAATCCTATATAAATAACAGGTCTTCGTAGGCTGGATACACCGTAGACTAGTCAAATTCCGTTCAGTATCAAGTTTTGTTTCGGCGCGTAAGCGGCATCTTCGCAAACTGACGGCTTCTGTTCTCGCCCCTTCGTAGTGAAAGCTTTCCAGATTTAAGAACATTGAACTCTCATCTTGTTCCCTTTTGCACTTGACGATGTCTTGACTTGAAGTCACCAGCCTTGGCGAATGCTGTGTCAGCAGATGTCTTAGCGATGCTGTGCCGGCTAGGACGGCACATTTGGGCCACTTGGTAGGCTTCAACCCAAAGATAAGCTTAACACAAGATTTTCTGCCCAGCTTTGGTGTGCATCTTGACAGATGAACGATCTTGTGCCGGTTATCCAGGTTCAGTCGGCTCGTCGGCATCCTGGCTTCTACTTCTCCACATGATGCATAATAGGCCCAGCACCGATTCCGAGGCCGTGATGATGGTCTTTTGCCAATCCCTGTGAAGTCTGAGCTCAATCCCAGCGCGACGAGAATAGAAAGTATTCGCAGGTGTTTTAGTATGGCCGTGCTCGTGTGTAATCGTAGGGTTATCATGATCGCTGCGAGTGGGACATTGATGTCAAAGACAAGAGTAACAGAGTAAATCTTGTATCAGATGTGAGAGATTCTACTGTCTACCCTAGATGTTGACTGCTATATAGCTGCTTCTCAATTCTGTCGTTCTCTGGTTGCGAAAGACGCCTCCTTCCTCGACGCACTGCCATACCCGCATTCATGTCACTCCTACATCCTTATCGCCTGCCTTCCTTGATGATGTGCTCTACCACATCCAATTTGGTCATCTTCTTGAGCATCCCCTCAAAGATTCCTGGCGGTAGCATCGAAGCCACCCGCGACAAGAGTGCACTCTCGCCTCTCCAGATGACTCTCGGTGGATTCTTCACCAATAATGCTGAAGCCACCTCCGACGCCCACTGGTCCGGCGAGATGCCTCTGACCCGAAGCTCATCTTGGCTCATAGCCCGCTCCACGATCTCACGGGCTGGCTCGTAAATCGAGCCATCTGGCAGGCGTTCACCTGTGGTGTTGAACTTGTTGTTGGAGATCAGGTTTGTTTTCACACCGGCAGTCTTGAGCTCCACGACATGAATCCCAAAGGGTGCCAGCTCGAGACGCATCGTGTCGGAGAGTGAAGCAAAGGCCGCTTTTGACGAGTTGTAGATGCCTTGGAACGGTATCGCAGTGACTGATCCGACCGATGTGTGATTCACAATCATTACCTGAGCTGGATGGCCATCCTCAGACGGGGCTGCCGTTGATTTGATCAGGAGAGGCAGAAAAGCCTGCGTGACAGCCACTTGGGACCAGACGTTGACATTGAACATCTCTTTTGCTGCATCTAAAGAGGCGTCTGCAATGGGCATTGTGTAGCTTCCGGCCGCGTTGTTGACAAGCATGTCCAAGCCTTTTCCGTCGGGCAAGGACGAGGTAACAGAGGAGACAGCTGAGGCGATGGAAGATTTTGATGTAATGTCGAGAGCGACAGTTTCGATTCCCAGTTTTTCTAGCGGCATCATCTTGGACGCATCACGCGCCGTGGCGTAGACGTGATGACCTGCGTTGTGGAAGGCAATTGCGAGGGCCGCGCCCGTTCCGCCCGGTGTGCATCCTGTGATCAGGATTCTGAGTTGCCTTGGAGCAGACATGTTGAAATTGTATCCGAAAGATAGTCAGATGATGATGTTTGCTGATAGCGGCAGGTGGACAACCTGGCAAGGTGTTGTTTCATGAAGTAAGAGTCGAAATGCTTGTCTAAGAACTTAGAGGTTGATAACAAAGATCACAATCGCAGCCTAAAAGCAATATTTTGAACTATTTATACTCTGGAAGGGCTTCAGGCCTCCAGTGTCCTTCGTGCGTGTCGCTATCGTGCTGCGGATTTGCGGAGCGGACCGGCGGGCTTGAGTGGGCCCTCACCGGCGCCGCTCACCAAAAATCAGGCCGCTTCCGGCCAACTCCCAATCACGGACGGATTCTCCGCCACGGGTCCGCTCGGAGTCCGCTGCCAGAAAATTAGGCAGCCCCCGTGTTGTACGAGTCACCTTCGGCAAGATCGCATGCAATAGCAGCAATCTCAAGCTGATCTTTATTGAAAACACAAAATCAGCTTTCGGTCGTCTTTGAGGCACTGGGCATATTACCTTTCAAAGCCGCTACAGCACCAAAGCCTCTAGAGAAATGTGCGAGCACTCGAATAGCAGTCTCGACGTCATCTGAAAGTTTCTTTTGTATCTCCTGCGACACTCCATGATGTGTGCCTGCATGTGCTGATGAATCAAAGTGGGAAATCATCATGAGGGTGTACCCTGCAAGTAAACCAGAGCAAAAGCAAGGGGTGACTGATCTAAGTTCAGCAAAAAGTCTAGGGATTTGATATGCGTGACTCACGAGCAAATCCTGAATTAACCAGCTGATTCAAACCATTTACAATACTTGATGCAGACTCTTGGCATACAGCTTTAGACTGAGCAGCAGAGAGAAGGAATATCTTGGCTGCTTTCGCAGCATCCAACGATGTTGCACACTCCAAAGCGTCATCAGAGGTAGATACCCGAGAGCGAGAGTTGGTGTCAAAACGACTTAGGATACGTAGGTTATCCATCATGGCCCGATATCTATGCAGCTTGATGCGGGCGCTGTAGTAGGTTAACGTTTGGCCGCAATATAGAAGAAGTAACCGAACCTGTTTAATCGGATGCGGGCTGTGGTGCGGAAATAATCAGCGAGTCTTGACTCGCAACAATCTACTCCGGTTGTTCGATTATCTCCATTTTGTCCGCTGTCATCCAGCAGATGCACAATGATGTCGTCCATGATACGGAGATTATCATGCAAGGATTGTGCTGCTGTCTCAGAGTTGAATCCCTTTACCAAGGCAACAAGCAAAAGTGTTGCACCAACCAGTGTTTCTTCAGCGCGAATTATTTGCTCCCAGATCTATCTCAATCAGCTACATCGCCAAAGACGACCGTACCTACCCAACGAGTATTGAAAGCTCACCTCTGAACTCCCGGCAATGGTTGGATATGGTATGGTGACCTTACTGATGTCGATGGTTTCTGCGGGAGACTGATTTAAGACCAGCGTATGGTTAAAATATTATCTATTTCTCTTCATTTCTTCATCTTACCTTGCAATCAACAATGGATGCATTGCATATGCACATATACTGTGTGGTTTACCGTCAGATGTGCGTCCTTCAGCAAGGGCTTTGGCGACTCACTGTCATCCACCAAGCTCTTCGAAGGCTTTCCTCAAAGCGCACTTCCGGTCTCGACGTTGTTGTATTTGAAGACAGTTCTCTCAAAAAGCCAAAAGCCTTTTGGGCATAAGACGTCATTTGTTCAATGTCTCCTCTGCACAGATAGTGGTAGAGACTCAGTACGCAACATGCCAGTGGTCTCTCAAGTTCTCCGGGTACATTTGGATGAAACCTTGACGCGGAGAACGAATGAGTCTCCAAGACTTTTATGGCGTCCCAGCTTGTGATTGCGTGCAGCGCATGCTGAGAAAGAGATGTGCTCCTTTCAAGAATGTTTTCATCTGTTGCTTCAGGATAACTCTCGTGACCGCGCAGTTGCGGTAAGTGAGTAAGTATTGATAGAATAGCCAAGATTACCGGAGAAGAAGGCGAGTATGTGTTGACCGGTGGCATTGAGTCTGAGACGCTATCCATCATGCCGTCAACCGGTGGTGGCAGTACTGGAAAGGCTGGGTGAAGAAATCTGTAGTATGATCGCAGACTGTAATAAACCATTGGAACACTCAATATCAGCCCCAAACCCATAGAGTGCGAGATAACACGAATTGTCAGCTGGGGCAGGCATACACATCATCATCGGAGGTAAAGTTCCCAAAAAGGCGTCGAAGGGGCGAGACGATGGTTGCCGGTGAGCTTTCATAGCCAGCACGTGGATAAGTAGGTATACTAAAGATATCTGCAAAGAACTGGTTTAGATCTTCCTCTGTGTCGCCGTGGAAAATGTTGTTAAAATGCAATGCATCGAAATCATCATTAAAGAGGGGAGGGAGTCCAACGACTGTGTCTGGGTTGAGATCCCCCTCGACAGCCACTGCACTCTCCGTAAAACTGTTATGTGTTACGGTTTGGTGAGCCTCCACGTAATATCTCGTGTTCAAGGCTGATGGCCCCTGGCGAGGATTTTCATGGCGATTCTTTGCCGGCCGCAGGCCTCGACGGCTAGGGAGAAAAGTGCACGAATCGCCCTTTTGGAGGCACTAACGGATCTTGACTCAGAGTAGTGTCCATTTAGATGCGGGAGGAATCTACTCACCCGAGTGCATGGGTGATCGCCACTACATCGTACGCGAGATGCTCTGCTTGAAGGGTTTTAGAAGAGGCCCTTGAAGTCATCGAAGTAGGAAAGGGCGGGCGAACCAAGAGGTACAGGCAGACTTCGCAGGTGGATTCGCAAACTTCCGAGTCCCTGGCTTTCTTCCGGTCATCCTCGCGTCAGTCCTTTGACAGCTTCACCGTGGAAAGAAATGAAGTCAATGCCTGCCTGAAAAGGGCAGAGATAATTGTCTCCAATCTCGGGATTTGAGATGGAGAATTTCAGCTAGAGCCCGAGACCTTAATCCCGAAAATTGGAGACGTCATAGCGTCACCGTGGTAGTTCACGTATTCCTGGTGTCATGACTCGTCATATCGCAGCAAAAGGCAAGCAATTTTGGAACCCCGTTCTTTTGGAGACACTGAAGTCTCCAACACCGCACCAACAACGCACACATCCCCATGGAGATGCAGACAGATAGACCGCACATCTGTACATTTTGCAGCAGGGGGTTTCGGAAGCCCGAACATCTCCAACGACATATACGGACTCGTAAGTAGCCCTTGCACAAGTAACCGCAATCGTTACAGCTCTATTGCTGCTTCTGATATAGAGATCATGCTGACTACGTGACTGTTTAGATACGAAGGAGAAGCCATATGTTTGTGAATGCGGTTCATCTTTCGCTAGGAGAGACCTGCTACAGCGTCACAAGCGACTTCATCATGAGTCAAATAGCGATCCTTCTTACCATGAAGACCACCTTCCACCGCCGAGTCGTGTCAACGACTCAGTATCCGAGGGAACAGTGCTAAGGTCTGTTTCCAGAGATAATAAGACACTGCCGTTGCCCCCAGAATATTGCAGCCAGCGTAGGTCTCGAGTCTTGGCTACACTGTTGGTCAGTAACTGAGTCCGGTATCAGGGCCAGCTTTCCTACACTCAGCGCGAAGCAAACATGTTCTTCATGATTTCGAGGACTTCTTTCGTAACAGTGGTCTATTTAGGATTGCTGGAGACCTCGTCTCAAATAATAATAGTCAAGCTAGAAAAGAAGACCTGGCTCGCGTCTCAACCCAAAGGGTGCCCCCGCGCGATATCCTAAACTTGGAGGGACAAATCGCAGACCTCAACACGGAATCAAGAGGCGAAGCTCGTAAGTCTTTCCCCGAAATTGACTTACCTTGCTTTGAGTCCAAATACTCTGACAATGCACACATTGGCAGCCCATGAGACTCCCGAAGCATTATGGGAAGAATATCTTAAACACAAGCCGAGCTTTACCATCCCATCTACTCAAACACGAACTCGATATTACAACTCCTTCATGAAAAATGGGAGAATGACCTTAGTACACAGCAGTGTTGACCCCGAAAAACTGCACATCGGTTTTCAGACGGCGATGCTTGCACTAGGAGCGCTTTACCTATTCGAAACCGACAGTGGGGAGATGCTCTATGAAGCCAGTAGATCCTTCACCCGTGGTTCTATTGCAACCAGTCATAGAGCAACAAACCATTCTGGTCTATCGTGAGTAATATTTGACAACTCTCTGCTTCTTTACCTTTACGAGCACATGGTCTAACACTTCGGAAGAATTGAGCTCCAGCATGCAAGCACATTTCTGTTACTATCAGAATACGTTAAAATAGCACAACCGAGTAACTTGGTAAAAGAACTACGTTTTCTCGATTGCAAACTGAGCTATTGGTACCACCTCAGCATCGCCTCGGCTGTGGTGCCTTTGGAAACCGAGTTGCAACGGCATGTCACGACCGAGATGGTCCAGCGCAGCTTTGCGTTTGCGTTTTGCGCTCTAGCAATCCATAGCTATCTCTCGGAGTCTCCAATGCCGTCTTTTTCGGCTAGTCATCAACTCCAACTGCCATGTCCGCGAAGCCTATGGAATGGCCTGGAACACGATCTTATTCCTCACACAGAGGAAAATACAGCTGTGGCGGTATACGAAAAGCTTTTCCGCTATGAGGATGAACTTGAGACAAATTTGAGACGTAACCATGTTCCCCAACTTGCCACCGAAGGGGTGTGGGTTTTGCTGGGACTTCACCTGCAGCGTTTGAAGTTCACACGAGAGGCTGCTCACCTTCAAACTTTTGAAACCCTTGCAAGGTCAGAGAGTGAACAACTTGAGTAAGCCTTAACCAGAGCATACGATAGCCAACGATTGCAACTACTAACTAAACGCAGTAAAGTGACGTTGCTCCTCATCAAATACTGTGATGCCGCAGCAGACTTGTCTTCGAGAGATGTTGCAGACCAGAGATTGCATAATGACTGCAGGGGTCTCTTGCGTCTCGTTTACTCGCGAAGATTGTTAGAAAGCACAGTTTCTACATCCCTGGCGCTGAATCTCTTTGATCCCACAGGGATTGCATCCAAGTTGATGAACCTGCCTTCCGAAATACAACTATCCTCCGCACTTAAACTTTCAGCCATCGGGGAATATGTTGGTTTCATGGAGGAGCCTGCAAATAGTGGTGTTGCATTCTTTGTGCGTATGTCAGCCAGTAAGTGGGGATTTGAGATGGCTCTATCAGCCTTTTATTCCGCCATTCTTGTCACGAAATGGCTGTCGCATTTGATTAGCCGCCAAACAAGGAGCCAAGGTCAGTCCTCATGGTGCATTTCCTCCCCTACTATGACTGACAGAGTCAAGCTGAGCGGGAGCTTCTTGAGAGGGTTGAGACACTTGTCACGATGATGCTATCGTCCCTCGGCGATCTCCGCGACTCATGTTCTCGAAAACGAATGGATTATCTTCCTTACTTGATCTTGAAGTTCTGGTCTCGCGTGCTACAGACATTCGAGAATAAGCCTTTTTCACAGGTGCTGGGGAGATCTCTCGAGCTGCTGACCCGAGATGTAGGTAATATACAGGGGTAAGGGTTCGATGAGGAGATCTGCGGGCGGAATGAAAGATTGCGCTGTACCAGCTTCCAAACTCACCAGGAAAATATAGATGACAATGAAGGCGGTCAAGTTGAGAACCAAAACGCGATTTTCATTATCAAGCCCAGAGACGAGACACATAATCGACCCTCTGTAATTACAGGCGGTAAACCATCCACGAGAGCTGCCGTATGTGTGCCCACTATGAGGGTATTAATTCACCATCTGGTTCTACTAAGGAACATTAGATTCATGCTAATTTTCAACTGCCAAATGCTACTTACTAATGGACGCTCGAACAATTAGTGAACTGGTGGTGGGCTACTATGTCGCGCGGGGACCTTCCCCTGGCGCCTCCAAAGTCTCCAACTTCAATCGGGGTCCAAAAGAGTAGATCCCGACTTAGTGGGGTCACGGCGGCATCGCCGCGAGCATCACGTCACTGGGCACTGCTGTCCTGCTCTCCGTCTTCTAGAGCCTTTTTGTGTCTCTGCTTTTCTCTCTTGTATTTATATGGAGGAGACACGAAGTGCAAGCCACAGATCTCAACAAATATTTCAGCATCCCATACCATTGGCTCTACGTGCCACCATACCGTAGCCTGAGCTTCATCAAGAGAGGCACCGCTTTGCAGGTGAGTTCAGTAAATCTTGTCTTCAAATCTAGTTGAAAATTCCGGATTTCCCATTGTATTCTGACAGCGTGGCGAGTTGTTAGACAAGCGCTGTAGTCCAGGGTCAGGCACGAACAAAGCAGTTATGGCATCCCTCAAGTTCAACAACCCGCCCGGTGCCGCACAAAAGCACAGTGATCTTGGGCACTACTCCCAGTCCGTCGATCTCGGCAACGGTACCGTCAAGTGTTCGGGGCAGGGAGGTTGGGATCCTGAGTCCGGGGCCCTTGACGCGAACAACAGCAAGAAGCAAGTTGCGCTGGCCATGGAGAATGTCGACATCGTCCTCAAAGCAGCAGGCCTTCGCGGGTGGGAGGATGTTTACTCGCTTCGTTCGTATCACTGCGACATTCGGACTTCATGGGAGCAGACGGTTGAGGCCCTGAGGGAGCGCATCCCTAACCACCGACCGATTTGGACAGCGGTTGCTGTTCCGCATCTCGCTTTCCCGGCAATGCTGATCGAGCTGGAGGTCGAGGCTAAGCGCCAGGAGTAGGCACGATAGACATACTGGAGGGCCTCGGAGTCGCCATCACCGACCTCTTCAAAGCAACTTTCACAGGTCAAACTACGATAGACTCTTCAGTATAATGGATTGTTCATCGATTCGGTTCGGTTCGGTGGGGTTCATGTCGGTGTTCATAATGCCTCGCGAATGAAATGATGGGCTAGTAGCACGATATCGAAGCTTGAAACATCATGGGGCGTAAGGACTACGGTGATGAATGGTGCTTTTGTTTCAGGCGTGGAGGATTCGACCTTCGGCGACGGCTGGGGGTTCTTGACGTGTTTTGGGAAGTTTAACTGCGCGTGTGTCAGGACTGTTAGCAAATGTTCAACCACATTCAAATCAGAAGAAAATACTTGCGAAATGGACTACCGCAGTATTGAAATTGGTATTCAAGATGTGGAAAGGTGCTTGTTGTCGATCTTGCTGTCTGGTCTGCGCGAGGTGGTGCTTCTAGGCATAGAATCCCTCCAACGATGTCACTACCCCTAGACCTCGATTTGCCTCGTGATAGAAGTCCAGCGAACGTCAGAGCCCTTCGTTTGAGACTTGAGAGTCAGGTTCCTAAGGCAAACCTTCGTGAACGATGATCAAAGGCGTTATCGGAAACACGATCCCCAAAGATAACATCGATGGGTTACTGTAGAGAATGAGTGGTGAGGAGAAACAGGACCGAGAATGCCAAGAGATTTTTGGATTTTATATGATTATTTTGCGTACGCTGTACGTACCTTTCATTGACGTATTCTTGGGGACGCATAGCATGGCAGTTACGGCGCGTGTCCTTGAGTGGGTTCTGTCACTGGCGACCACCTCCCCCTGATCCAGTCTTAGGGCACCAGGCATTTACTTTGAATTTCCCCAGCCCTCGTCGACCAGACGCAAATCCTTTGTCATATCAACAGCCTGCTCCTGATTGAGCTAAAACATAGATGTACATTATTCATCTCATCTTGTGGTGTAACTATTCAGTGCACAAGATGATGGTGTGTAGCGTAGATTGAAGCTTCTATTGCAAGATCGTGCAGACGCAGAGAACATAGCATGGGATGCACTGGATTAGAACGAGCGACGTACCTTCGTACCTGACCTGCAGCCATGCGCCAACAGCGTCCATGTAGGAAATATTTTCAAGGAGTTATCGCGAGGGCATCGGACCTTCGGTTGCCCAGGCTTCGTTTGGAGAGACGCACTAGGTAGCTCCGTATCATGTTCACATTTGAACCTCGCCATCCCAGTCCCAATGCCCCTTCAATAACGTGGATGTTGAGGCAGGCCATAGATTCATGGACGGCGCCCCGGTAGAACCAAGAACATCCCGGAGACGAACACGATCTCCTTCGTGGTCCTCTGTAGGGTTTCATGTTTAAAGAGCCTGTGTCTCTCAGCGGTCGCACGGATCACGGCCGATTCGGTCTTCCGGACATTCGGAACATCTTCACTTTTGGGATTGGCGCCCATCAAGTAGATCTGGGAACATGACCCGAACCAAGGATGGAACGATCGAGGTTCTATGGACACGATTTGACCCGAGCGTCTGATCCTTCTTGCCTCGCATCTTTCTTCCAGGCTCTTTTAGGTTCGCCCGAGACGCTGATAGGACAAGCTGGGACGAGGTTGCCCCGTAAAAGTATCGCAATCTCCCCCTACTAGCATGTACAGCCTGTTCCAGCTTGAATTTCTTTCATCAATTGATATCACTGTGGCAGAAGACATCTTCTTGG